GTTTTGTCATGATGCATCCGGCCCATAGGCCGGCAGTTTGACAGCCCTGCTTTAACTCAGTGTTTTTCAGCTTTAGCAACTTGAAGATGTATGGACTTCAACTCCCAGAATTCTCCAGCTTGCCAAGTTGCCATTGTTGCCAAACAGTACTTGCTGGTTTTGATATAATTTGCGTTCTCAAAATACATAGTTGAAAAGGTGATATACAGATTCAGGGACATGACTTTGAAGCAGTTTTAAAAACCATGTAAACAAAGAGGACAGAAACATTCTTTAATTCCTAGGAAGGGAGGCAGAGATTTGGAATGACTCTTTCAGGAATCTATTATTATACAGTGAGGTATAGTTTTATCACCTCGTGGAGTCTGTTGCCTGATCAGATCTTCTTTGAAGGATTGACAGAATTACATTGCTGTCACTATTAGCAATGGCTTAATGAAGTCTCCAAAGAAACCTTGTTCAGTTCAGAATCTGAGGGTTTAGTATTATTGGAAGAAATAATAACACACTATAATATTACTTACTTACTTTTAAATATAGGAATGGGCTATGTGCATAAACATATACATAAGCAAAAACTGAGAAAAGCATAAGTATAGATAGTCCAGTAGGCTTTTATTTTGTGGATGCTACAATGTATACCTCATGAAAAAGAAGGAAAATAAATATGTATTGTGACATGCCATTGAATTAGACTTTTTTCAACGATTTTTTCATTCATTTCCTTATTTAGGGAATTGAGAATATAGTTTCTTCGATTTATAACAAGTTGTCATAGACTTTTTTTTAAAAAAAGATGGGAATATATCATTTTGCCTTCTGGTTTTTTTTCCTGATCCACATGAGATTTACAGTAGCAGTATAAACTCTTCCTTTCTAAATGTTATGCACTGAATTAAAAATGAAGCTACGGTGCCATCTTGTGGATCTGAAGGCACAGTTTATTATAGTTTATTTTATTAAAGAAGTTCTTCAGTAGTTCCAATTACATTTTTTTCTCTTTATAATTCAATCTCCCTGTTATTCTATTCTCAGTCTTAGGGATTAATAATTTAATTGAGAGTTAGTGTAAAAGATATTTCCCCAAGGATGCAAATTCTGTCTTCAAAAATATTTTAAATTGCCAAGAATGCAAAATAGTTCCTCTAATGTATATAGTGCAATGGATAATGATAATTTATTCTTTTGCAACTTGTTGGCAGTATCTTGAAAAGCACAGATGTCAAGCTAACATCAATTGAATTCTGCTTAAGTATATGACCATATTAAAGCACCCTGTCTTTAATATTATCATGTTTTATATTTAATTAGTTTTTAAGTTTCTTTATAAACACATAGGTAAATCACTGTAGGCTGCTTTGTTATTTTTCCCCATTATTACTGGTTTTTTCCTTTATCTATCTCTCTTTCCCAGAGCCCAACCCAAATATCTGCTTCCTCTTAAGGTTAGATAATTATTGCTATGTTTTGGCTGATTGAGTTCATTATTTGTGAACTAGTTGAGTCTTTGAAATACAATCCGAAGTATAGAATCAAGATCACACGAAAAGACTTCCAGTTCCGGTTCGCGGCGAGTCCGGTCGTGTGAAGAGACTTGTCTCTCCACCAGCTGTTTTTTCTTCGCCGGTAGACCCCATAGTGGGTTGAAAGTCGCCCTGGAGGGGCGACCATCAATGAGGAGGCTTGTTGGTGACAGCGGGAAGGCAGCAGCTTCTTCCGCGGCTCCAGCTAACTCCTTAGGCCAATGGAGCAAAGATCGTCCTACAAGATGGCCGATCATCTAGCTGCACCAGCCGAAAGTCACAGAAACATCTAAACATGAAAGACCCACCGGGGATGATCCGGGTGAGACCCTCCCTTCTCCTCTCTTCACCCTATTTTTCTCTCTGCCTGTAAAAGCTTTTTTGGAATCATTTTCCTGTCTTGAGAGAGCGGTGTTTGCTTGCGTGGGAAGAAATGTGCTGAACAAAAGGACAGAATAATTAATTTTAATTACTTTACTCTTATTTACCTTGAGGTACAGAAAAAACTTTTTTATAGAGCTTTATCTTTATTTTACACTTGAAGAATATTTCTTTTTCCACTTTTTCTTTTTTTTTAAGAAAAGAGAGAGAAAAAGGAAAGAAAATGGTGTTCGGGAAAGATTTTGCAACCCACTGAGGATATCTTGTGGCGAACATTTAATATTGCAACTGCCTGTTTTTGTCTGGAGATGAGGTTGGCTTGACCTTCAAACTATTACAGAAGGGAAAAGATAAGGAAGCTGATGCAGCGGTTAGAAATTGTGGGGGTGAACATTGTTTAATTTCTAATAAATATAGGCCCCACTAAAAGATAAAAAGGACTGTCTTCAATTATTATTGAAATGGAGAAACCTTACTTACAATTAAATTGTAAACTTAGCCACTGAGCAAGTATGTGCTAAAATAAAATAGATTACTACAGAAATAAGAGCCAGAAACATTACTCCAAACCTTCAAACTGATTTCCAGACTTCAACTGACTGTTCTATAAACCAAAATATACCAGAAGAGGAACTAACCGAGATTAAAGAGGAATTTATATTGCCTTATAAGCATCCCACTCACATCCTTGAGGATCAAAAGAACCAAAGATTGAGACTTGAATGTTTAAAGCAACAAGGATCTAATGACAAAGGAGCCATGCCCCTAACACAGAGGATGGGATGTCTTCTACTGATCCAAATGACAAAGGGAGATCTATCTGCTGAAATAGAGGCTTTGTTATGAAAACCGGCCTGGCACAAAAAGAAAGCCAGAATAAGACTAAAAAGAGAAACTTAAAGCCATATCTAATGGATTAAAAAGGCCTTGTGGAAATATGGATTGACTTAAGGTTTAAGATTTAAAGTTAGAAGCAAGAGAAAAATTGGTGATTATTAGAATATATACGCTAAATATAAGAATGTATCTTTTGGAATAATATGTTTATTTGTATGAAAATTATTTTGTAATGGAATGAGAATAAGAAAATGGAAGAGGTTTTAGAGATCTGGATTGATTTAACAATTGAGCATGTTAAGTTAGTAAGATGATGCTTTGTGTAACAATAAGCGTGTTTTCAGATATGATATCTATCTGGATGAGATTTGAATGCTTCCTAATGGACTGAAATGATTTAATGTTTTGTATTATTTTGCTTCCTATAGAGATAGATTGAATGATGGATTGTATATGTATAAGGTAGAGTAATATTTTAATCAGGCTAACTACTTTGTAGTGGAAGAAGAAATAAGAGAGATTTCTGATAAAATGAATGACTCATTAGATTAAGAACCGGAATACATTTGGGAAGGGGTACCTGAAGTGATAATATGCTTATTTAAGATTAAATTGGACTATGGTAATTAAATTAAGAAAGTTTAAAAACAGGATTAGGATGTATAGAACTCTAATGTAGAAATGGATCATTTTAAATATATTATACTATTTGAGAGAAATAGAGAAGGAATATTTAATGTATTTACTTGAGTTATTCATATATGATTTCGTTTTTGGATGTTTAACTATCCCATCACCACGGTGTGTCTCGAGCACTTTTGTTGTAAAAGTTAAAAAAACCAATAAAATTTGTTTTTTAAAAAAAGATCACACGAAGTATTAGTACCACTTTATGAAGATCATAAAGATCACATCTGGAATACTGCAACCAATTTTGTTCACTACACTACAAAAAATATGTTGAGACCTTGGAAAAAGTTCAGAAAAGAGCAGCTAAAATGATAAAAGGCCTGGAGACTAAAACGTATGGAGAATGGCTGCAGGACTTGGGTTTGGCTAGTCTAAAGAAAAGAAGAAACATGATAGCAGTATTCCAGTATTTGAGGGGCTACCACAAAGAAGAGGGCGTCAAACTATTCTCCAAACCACCAGAGGGCAAGACACGAAACAATGGTTGGAAACTTATCAAAGAGAGAAGCAACCAGGAATTAAGAAGAAACTTCCTAACAGTGAGGACAATTAACCCGTGGAACAGCTTGCATTTAGAAATCATGGGCACTCCATCACTGGAAATTTTAAAGAAGAGACTAGTTAGTCACTTGTCTGAAATGGTATAGGTTCTCTTATTTGATCAGGGGGCTGGATTAGGAGACCCTTTCTATTCTATTCTATTCTAATTAGCCAATCTTTTTGTATTTAGTTGAAATTTAATATGAAATCATATAAAAATCTATATAGAATATGTACTTAAGACAAATACATATACAGTATGTACAGCATTTTAATTAAATATGTTTTTAAAAAGATACCCAATAAAATAAACTTGGATAGAACAGACGTGGATTGGAAATAGATTTTTATTGATTATGTACAGTAACTGAGTCATAATACAAAACTTTAAAATGATATTTTGCAAGCAACCTAGTTCTATGAAAAGTGTTATGCTAGTCAAACTACCTCACTAACTAGATCTTTAGGGTAAATCTACAATGTTTTGTATTGAAATCTTGCTAGGTAGCTATATAACAGTGATGGCAAACCTTTTAGAGACCAAGTGCCCAAACTGCAACCCAAAATCCACTTATGCATCATCGGGTGCTGGGTGGGTGTGTCCCATTGGGTGGGCGTGTCCCATTGGGTGGGCATGGCCCATTGGGTGGGCATGGCTGCGGTGGTAATGGCAGACTGGGTGGGACTAAAAAGTTCAATCAATCAATTCCAACTTTGCAAGATCTTTTTTTCCCACGAGAAGTTGAAATTGACTGATTGATTGAACTTTGTGTGTGTGTGTGTATACAGTGGTGGAGGCCTAAAGCAAAAAGGTTTTATAAAACCCAGCTGAAGGCCTAGGACTGGGGCGACGGCACGCGTGCCCACAGAGAGGGCTCTGTGTGCCAACTGTGGCACGCATGCCATAGGTTCGCCACCACTGCTATAAAAGAATAACTTGCAACCTGCTCTTTAGCTATTTTCTACTTTGTAATTATCGTATAATGTGGGCTGTTTATTCATTCTTTATTTTTTTCTTTTTATTTACAGTCAGTCTGTCTCATATCACACAGCTAGTTCTCAGTCACAACAAGCTCACCGGTAAGTACATTTCTAAATATTTCCTTTCTTCCTCAGTATAAATGAATTCCTGGCAATTAATTGATTTGAACATTGTTAAATATTACAGATTTTGTAAGTGGTCTCTTGTATTGTTGAATGTTTTCATGCTATTTTACTAGAATTTTCTTCCTGTTCAGTGTTCAACATTGTATTGGCAGAAAATGTAGCACATTTCATTCAAATAATAGCAATAGCAATAAGACTTATATACCTCTTCACAGTGATTTACAGCCCTCTCTAAGCAGTTTAGAATCAGCATTTTCTGCCCAACAATCTGGGTCCTCATTTTACTAATGGAAGGCTGGAAGGCTGAGTCAACCTTGAGCTGGTAAGGATCAAACCCCTGGCAGTCAGCAGAATTAGCCTGCAATACTGCATTTTAACAATTGCACCACCATAATGCTGTCAACACTGAAACAGCAAGTTAATATTTAATATCATATTGCAGAAATCATCTTTCCTTTGCAATTAATGTTTTATAATCCTAGGGTAAAATCTAATTTTTGCACTAATGGAACCTTTCTTCCCTCTATTAAATGGGAAGGGAGCTGAAGATTACCCTTTCCACCTAGAGCTTACTGCTTTTCCATGTCTAAGCTAGCAGGTTGGGAGATTAGATCCAGAATGGTCTGATACGTTGCAGGTATGAATGTATGTACGTTCGTATGTATGTATGTATGTATGTATGTATGTATGTATTTATGTATTTAATAGCTTGTGATAGCTTCTGAATTGTATGGTTTGTTCAACATATTTTCATATGTGTATCCACATAATTATATATGATGAATTTTGAGACTATTAGTAATATTGTTTTATTGGTACTTGAAGCTTAAATTTATTTTAATGTAGAAAGTATTCTGTGGTTAATAGATTATTTTTGTATGTTATTTAAATGTAATATATTTTGTGCTAACTATACATTTCTTAATAATACTGTATTTGTTTGTGTGGATACATAGTGCAAAATGTTTATTTTTTAAAAAACTCAAACTGTTGAAGGAGATGTGTGTAGAGCAAACAGCAAACATGACCAGATAAAGTAATTTTAGTTTATTGTAAAACTAGAGTAACAACATCATGGAAGTTTGAAAGTACAATTGTACCACATTAACCTTTACAGCCTGAGAACTTAGGTAATGTCCTTTTGAGCGCTTTCTCACCAACTAGCAGCTGTGGACTATGCTGTCTCTTATCTGACCCTTCCCTAGACTCATCTCTTACTCCCATCTTCCATGATCTTTCCCATATACTATTACATCCTTCCACAAGTACACAAGGGTTGTTGTCTGCAGCAGGAAAGCCTTCATGTGTAAGGGTAGATACAAGCACTCATTGTCAGCCTGACTAGGTAGAGCAGACAAATCAACTCTACAGGAAGGTTAAAATTTATTTTATTGAAATTGGCTATAATAAATCAATATTGGATTGATTGGATAATCTTAAACCTCCCCCAGCTTATGGTTCCCTGAATTAAGGCAATATCCATTTGAGTTATGTTTTGCCCTTGCACTAGCAAGAGAGCTTGCATATATCAACACCAGTGTCATCTTCCTTTCTATATACAGATAGAGGATGGTTCAGGATTATACATAAGTCAGTTTGTATGGGTGTATAGTAATGTACCATTTTGTGCTATATATGAGGGTTCCTCTGCCGCAAGAAGTCGTGTTGTATTTGTGTATACTATATACAAAGGAGCACTTGTTCATCTGCTTTCATAGTAAGCAGTACACATAAACACATGGGCTTTAGAGATAGGTATATTTTGATCTGACTTAGAAAAAGGCATGCAAAAAGATATTTATGATGAGTATAATGGGATTACATAATGGTTGTGTGATTTTTTTAAAATTTTATTTTACTTTCCAAAACAAGGCAATACTTGAATGGAAGGAATGTCTTCTTTCTTTCTGTTGTCACATTGTTGATGTAGAAAACATTATCAGAGATGAATTGGATAGCAAAGATTATAGCAGGATGTGCAATCCTCCACTATTCTCAAGGGGAGATCTCTGGGAATAATGGATATGAAAATAATTGTTTTCACATGATAAAGAGATATTAAGGCTGAAATAAGCATGAGGTGCCCCCAAGAAACTTTCTATTCACATTTCTGCTATTAAAAAAAATTGCTACCGCCTTTCAGCAGATTCACCATAGTCTCTAGGTGTGGGAGGACCACAGATGAAATGCTGAGGCCATATGCTGTCTGTGAGTTTCCCATTCCTCTACTATAATTTATTCAATTGTGTCAGTGAATTCATTAGATATTCCGTGTTTTCATTTTATAAGGATCCTCAAGCTGGTGAGCTCACAAAAAGGCTTGAAATATAAATCATTCACCTAGATGACAAAATCTACATTCCAGGCAAAAATAAATTTCCCCCCAAATTTAAGATTTTTGTGGTGGCTTCTCTGTCATCTGTTAGTTGTACTATTAAGTGTTTAAATATATTTTATTCTAAATCTAAATCATATTTTTGAAACTTCTTGTAAGACACATGGGAAAAATGTTGCAAGATAGACTGCAATCCAGCTAAACAATAAATAAAAATAAATAGTGTGTCTCACTATTACTAAAAGACTGGATTTCAGTTTTCTTATTTGTCACATTTGGCATTCTTGACCTAATCCCTTAAAAAGATACAATTAATTGTCTGAGCAGATTGTTATCAAATGACTAGGGAAAACAATGTCAGTGACATTTGATATGCTTCACTAAGGTCATATTAGCATCTCATACTAGTTTTCTGGCTTATAAATGAGCATGCTTGCTTTGTTGTTCCACTGTTTATAGTAAATATGTCCATTTTCTAGGGTGGTAAATTATTCATGAAAGGTAAGCAGATGCCCAGTGTTTTCTACAGTTAGTGTTTGCAGCCTGACAAAAATCAGCAAGCTTTATCACTACAGTAAGTCATAGCTTCTTGCTTTCAAGTTGTGCTACCACTTCACTGTTTTATTTATTTTAGCATATTTTTTTACATTTTTATCCATAAACCTGTCACAGTTAGATATACCTGTGTTTTATAGGAGTATGCATAAGACAACAATCCATGCCTCAAAGTCTTTGGCTAGGGAGGCTTGTCAAGTGAATGTGTCCTTCTAATTCTGAGCCACCCCTGGACTCATCTGAGCAAAGATTGAAAGTATCCAGAAAGCAAGGGGGAATTTGGCTTTGGAGGAATGAGTGAGAATCCTCTCGTATTGAATAAAAACCTGAACTCTCAGTTCAAGCTCCCTTTTTCCAATGAAATTGCCTAGGTGCCCTAGGCAAGGAGGAAAATGTAAAACGGTACTGAGACAGGTTGCATGGGGAGGGGGGACAAAACAATTCCTGTCTCCCTTCTATAAGCCCATGGTTAAAATGAAAGTGTGGGAGAGTTTTAGCATTGAGAATGGTTCTGTGTTGGAGCAGTGGGTCTATGAGAATGAGAATGGAGTGCTGGGTTAGGATTTTTTATGGTGCTGCAGCAGAGCATGAATGCAGTTCCAGAAAGTTGAATTAAAAAATTGAATCATCCCACCTGGAGAAGAGGCAAAAACAGCCTTCTCTAAGCAGCACCCTCCTGGACAAGAAGCAAAAAGAATTGCAATTGTTGAGTAAAAGTTAAGATTATGGGCTGCTGGAGTAACAGCCGTTAATGAGGTTACTATAACTATCTCTTTTTTTAATCTCTTCTCCACTTTCTGCTAGGTTGTAGAGGAAGTTTTGTTTTGTTTTTTGAGTGGAGAATCCTGGAGATACTTCGGCTGCAGACCTGAGAGGCAGTGGTGATTCATTGTGTTGATGATTTATGGCTGTGTGCTGATGATATCCAAGCACGTGTAAAATTCACTATTTCTTGCTTGAATTTCTTGAGACAAGCTGCAAAATAAATCTGAGTAAAGTTTAAACTTTTCAAGCACAAAGAAAGTTGCTGTAGCCTTCTGGCAATTAGAACAAAGACTCACAAACACCTTTCCTTGTCTCCCTCTAACAACAGATGATAGGTGGGCTTCATGAGAGAGAATCTTGTAGAATCTAAAGAAGGGAACCTTTGAACATCGGAAAAGTTGAGGCAGGTAGAGGGACAGCTTCACACACGTGTCCAAAAAACTACATACCAAACAGTAGGCAGAGCCCCTTAGTCACTTGAAGCTTGTTAGGATCATTCTTTGGGGATCCACTAATGGGTGAAGACGGTAAGAAGATGATGGGGAGCAGGAGAAAGCAGAACTGCTCAATTCTTTCTTTGCATCTGTATTCACATAAAAGGAAAAAATAGTCCAGCCCACGAAAAACAATACAATGGTAGCAGGAACACAGAAAATACATTGGTAAAATATGTCCACTCTAGAAGAGTTCAAACCACCAGGACCAGATGGATTATATTCCAGATTACATGAAAGAGTTGGCAGACATGATCCCAAAACCACTGAGCAAAGTCTTTCAAAGCTCCTGGAGAACAGGGGAACTGCCAGAGGATTGAAAAAGAGCCGATGTAGTTCCAATTTTCAAAAAGAGAAAGAAAGTGGATCCAGGAAACTACAGACTAATCAGTTTGACATCACTAGCCAGAAAAATCCTGGAATAAATAAATAAGTAGTGGATTTGTGGGCACCTAGAAATCAACAAGGCAATTGCTAAAAGCCAGCACGGGTTTGTTAAGAACAGGTCATGCCAGACAAACATTATTGCCTTCTTTGATAAAGAGACTAAATTAGTGGACCAGGGAAATGTGGACATAGTATACTTAGTCTTCACTAAAGTATTTGACAAAATAGAATGCAGTCTACTTCTTGTGGGATAGAGTGTACCTCCAGCAGATGGATTAGCAGTTGGCTGATCAACCCACACTCATTGTGTAATCCTCAATGGAACTAAATCTACATGAAGGGAAGCACACAATGGGGTACTTCAAGATTCTGTCTTAGGCCCAATGCTCCTCAACATCTTCATAAATGATCTAAATGAGGGGATAGAAGTGGAACAT